GTCGTTTCGAGTTTGCTGTCCTGTTCAAAATTCACGCAACATCTTGATTGATGTATTGCTGTTTGTGGTCTTCGCTGGTGTAATTCTATTTTCCGCCTTCAGATATTCACAATGCGAAAAGTATAAACAAAAGAATTGAATTGTTCCCTAAAATTTCAATGAACAATCTCTGGCGATAAATAAGAAACATAATCATAACATATCGGAAGCCTGAATTATGTGTTCGATAATTTCGGCATCTAATGGTCGAGCGCAGACGGTATAACATAAGAGAACCTAAGGCTCGGTTACGCTTAATATAGACAGATTTTCTCATCTGTGATGCCGACACATACTCATTCAAGAATCTTCGAGTGACTTGATTTGGTACAAGCCAAAACGACACTCATGTCAGATTCCGGCCTAGCCGTCAGTCCCTGATCACATCCGTCATCACAACATGAGAGGGTGCTGTCTGTGCGAATTAGTCATGAAGCATGCAGCTGAAGTCAAACGAACGGAGTGGACCTTTAACTTGTCGGGCGGCTGGCATGTGCATTGCAGCTACAAGAGATGCTGTGTTTCCCTTCGGGAGCAGTTCAGCTATGGTACAGTCATGCTAAAGCATGGAAGGCGGTGTCAGCTCACGGAGGGTCAGGTTCAAGGCGTCGCCTCAGGCACGAAGAGCAGTCAACCCAAGGCTGGATCGCAACTTCGACAACCATTCCACCATCCTCCGACTCTCTTAGCCCCGAACAGTCGGCGTGCCAGGGGGAGCAAGTGTACCTGTCAAATAATTTGGGTGCAGCAGCAGGAGCGAAGTGATGCGAAGTGCCGAAGCCTGCCTCAAAGAGCGCAGCTGCAGATTCTGTGTCCTTTAGGTCCGTAAACTGCCTCGCAAGAATGCATGCAGCCAGCTGGAAATCCTGTTTGCAGCAATTGTTGGTTTCCTAGCCTTCTAGCAGTTTCAACGAGCAGCTCGACAAAGAGCTCGAAGGCCTGGTCGCGGACTCGTCGTGCGAAAATATGCGTAACACCAGAATGAGAACATAACAGAAGCCTGCTTCCATAAATTAGCAAGCCACAAGCACATCGTATGCAGTTGAATCCGGTTGAACGTCTTTGAATGGCGCACCAGTGCTGGCTCGCCAGAGTTTGTAGGACTGCCGAAGCGCTCGGCGGTTTCAGCAAACACGACCTGTGAAAGGTCGTGACGAAGGAGCGTAGGCTTAGAGAGGGCATCGGGCGCAACAGTTGCTCCTCCTAACAATTTTCGAATTTACACCCGCCTCCAGCTCGCCCTGAGAGAGTCGAAGCTGGGAGGCATGTGCCATGCGTAGGTAGTCCTGGCAGCTATCAGCACCCGAAAATGAGTCTGCAGTACATGCAACTAGGGCTCGTGCAGCTCGTGCACTTTTCTGAGCATCGTTTGCATCAGCTTCGCACATGAGCAAACAAGGAGACAGCTGCAATGACTTCCCTGCAGGGAGTCATTGAAGTCCTCCAAAGCCGTGCATGAGCGCTAAATAAAAAATCACAGACTCCCATCTTCAAGCATCACGGGTCACTTGTACCAAAGCCGTGTTCCAGAAGAGCATTCAATGCCTGAAGATCCAACATGCAAACTAATCCGACGCCGTCTGCTGACATGTGACTGCATGTGCCTCGCAGACGTCAGGCTTCAGCTGCTTGCATAGTTCCTGGACAAGCCTCGAAGTGTTTCGATGCACGGACTGTGGGTGTAAACACACGGAGGCAGGGTTCCTTCGAGGCAAACCCCGTGTTGATTTCTATGCTCAATGCGCTGCTCTAGAACCTCCTCTCCGAGTAGCGCAGAGTTGAGAATAGGCGACAGAACCTGCGGATGGGCTTTGACGTGCGACTGCGACTGACTCTACTTCAAGCTAGGAGAGAGTTGCAATCACGGTTCACCTCGGCGATGTCACGCTTGTAGGTCTTCCGTTCGCTAGCAAACATAGCAGCAAACGTGAGAAAGTCCTGGCCATGGTCAGGCGCAAACGGTGCAGCACAAACCGGTCAGGGAGGCAACCGTTTGGGCGATGTCCTTCAAGGTGTCCTTCACGTCTGCGCGCGAATGTCCATTGGATGGCTGGGCTGGTTGGGCCGGTTCCTCACGGGAAGCGGTCCTTGAGGCATTTGCAGGGACTGTCGTGAACAGCAGAGGGGCAAGGCGTGGAGTCACGATGTCTTGATGCATGGAACACGTAAGCCAAGTGACGTCCTGTCAACATGCCTGACGAGCCTTTTGACCTTTTTCCAGGTCTCCTGTCTTGCAACACAATGCTTGATAATTCGAGTGGCTTCAAATCCACGGTGGCCATGCCTCCCCCCTCCGGACACGATCACCCGGATCCTCAGTTGACTTCAAGGAACAGCGCTGGCTGCTAAAACCGATTCAAAAGTCCTGGCTTGTTCTTGCCAAGTCTCTAGTGGCCAGTGCTCGACTTGCTTGAGTATCTCGCCTATGGAGACTGCGCACAGTTCGCGAGCCGCCGTCTGGCCTGCACTCTTCGGGTTCGTACACAGAACGAGAATGAAGTACACCCAGGGCCAATCCTGCCGAACGTAGCCCTATGCAGCAGGGGTGGTCATGGAGATGGGTGCCTTTCGTGTGGCATTCTAATTCCAGCGATCCCTCGCAAACACGAACAGATTCAAACAGGTTCCTGCTGCTTCCAGCATCCGCGGCTGGGGTACCCAGACGATTCAGCAGGCTACATCACTTGCGAGCTTGACGACATACTGTGTTAGTAGCTGTTCTCATCAGGTGCTCCTTATCAAGTCAAGGAGCGGTCGCTGGTCCTGGTGGCGTCCTTGAGGACAGGTTGACGCGGTCGTGGCTTCCTCGAGGGCTGCGAAAGCTTTTTGTAGCCTCGGCTGAATGGCAGTGAATCTGTCGCCTCGCGGCAGCAGCTTCTCGGTTCACGGCAGGGCTGGGCATGTGTTCTCACTGAGGTCGGGCTAGGTCAATCATCAATGGAAGCGTCTGTTCCAAGCCCATGTGTCACGCTAGAATGTGAAGCCTCTGAAACCTCAAATGCAAGGGCTAAGACTCCCCGAACCCGGAACCTATGCCCCGAAAACCCGCTTCAACATAGACCAGAAGGAATCCAAAAGCGCTCGGAAGCCCAAACAAAACTCAAGACAAGTGTGTGCGTGTGTGTGTGTGTGTCTGTCTCGCAGACCCTAAATTGAACCTACGAGTACATGATGTACTAGGTGTGAGCGTGCACCAAATGACTCGTTCACTGCCCACAAGCCTGCATTTGCAAGTGTGTCTTACGGTTTACTCTCAGTGCCACCGAATGACTCTGCAAGTGCTCCTGATTGGATTCCAGAGCTGCAAACCATCGAGCGCACAGTGCAAGTGCCTGGAAAGGAGCTTCTAGGGAGGCGCCAGTGAGCGCAGCGTGATCTTTTCAACTCGGGGCTGCAGTAGTGACCCCTTGTAGACTGTGGACAGTATAGAGAGCAGAGTGAGAGAGAGGGAGAGAGAGTCGCGACTGGTGCCTACCTGGATTACTACCATAGCGAATTCTTTGTACCCTGAATGCAACAGTTTCCTTCATGGCATCTGCAGGGATAATGCCAATACTTGACAGCAAAGCTGCATCTAAGACTTCGCGTACTCGTTCCCGGTGGGCTTCCCGGTTATTAGCCATTTGCAGCAAGAAGCCAATTACTATATCCTTCTCCTCCAAATGATCCAGCATTCTCATGTTGGGCTTCTTTCTCAAAGCCAACACTGATTTGCAGAAGTCAAAGTATGCCTTTTCACCTTCTTGGCTGACCGGTGTACCCGGACTTCGACAGCTCACCACACGGCCATGATGCCTTCGCAGTTCTGACAACTCTTCTGGAAAGGGCTCATCGGCATTAACTCTGAGCAGCTCCCGCTCGCTCGGAATCCTCCGACCGTCATTTGCAGGCTCCGGGTCAGGGCGGTCAAGGTTTCGGCTCGAGGTTTCTGAAGACGAAGACGAAGACGAAGCAGAAACGCTACACATCTCTGGCAGCCTTGGAGCTTGAAGAGCGTGAACTGTGGCTGCATCAGGCTCAAGATCCGTCTGCACGCTCTTGTCGTCGACGATCACTTCACGGTTGAGGTCTGCTGGATGCGAAGCCTGCATGTCAGGATCTCGACCGTGGTGCACTCCTCCTTCTCGAGATGCATGTGAATGCCCGCCGACCTGAACATCATCCCCATCAGATGTTGTAGAGAATGCCATCAGAAATTTCGCTGTAATCGGATCCATGTCGTACACACGTGCACTGAGGTGAGTCGCACGAGCTTCCTTCAGAGCATGCAGCCGCCGATTGTTCAATGAATAATACTGCGAGCCGTGCCTGACAACCTTCAGACGCAACCTCGGCTCTGTCAAGGGGTTCACCCGCCCTTCCGCAATATCACGCACCAAATGCTCGATAGGTTGACCACCATGCGGCCCATGCTTGAACTTTTTGGAAATCCGATCATGTGTATACTTGACGGAGGCAACTTCCAGCACCTTGTCTTGATCTGTGATCTGTCGAGCGACGTTGTCGTTCTCGAAAATCTGCGGGCCGTTCGTTTCCTTAAAAATCTTTGTCAGTACCGACTGCATATGGTCTTCGCTGATTTCGCTGCAGGGATGAATGTGGGGCTTGTCAGCCTGTCTGACAAGACCTGGCTGTGGGTAAACGAACTCCTCATCATCATCAATCAAGTCGTCCTGCTCGCACGTGTCCAGCACAGCTGCGTCGCTCTGCTCCTGAGATGGTGTGCCGCCTGGCCATTGCAACGTGGCTGTCGCCTGGCTGGGCTGGCTTGTCGGTTGGTTCGGCTTGGCTGGGCGACCGGTAAGGTCCACACGTGTGTCAACGTCGTCGCTGGCGAGGCCTGGAGTTGCCACGTCCTCATGTCCATCGTCCACAGCTGGACAGCTACATTCGTCGGACATTCCACTCCGCATGCCATGCATGGAGTCCTGATGCACACTGCCGTCGTCAGCCAATACATCCTCAGATGAGGTGGCAACGATCGACCCAGCTTTGCAAGCTGGCGCCTGCCGTTTGGCTGCTTCCACACCCTCACCGGCATCTTGGCATACTGGACCTTCAGTTTCTTCGCGGTTCCTAGCCAAACAACCATCTTGGCGATCGCTTTGTGTGGCGTCGGTCGGATGCACGAAGTGCTTGCTCAAGCCGGAAAAAGATGCGCTGCCACTTCTGCTGGCTGTGCCTGTGTCGGCCACATCAGTTTGGTGCGTCGAAGGGGGAAGTCCTTTGTCTGACTCGGGATCCTCGGGTTGCTGCGAAGGCTGTTGTATCCGTCGCGAGCCGACCTCGGATTCTTGCAAGGCATCATGGCCTCGGGCGTTGTGCGACCGCTCGTCTGCAGCAATAAGTTCCTTGTTCGGAACTGTGGCACTACCGTGCCTTCGCATCGTATCGGCATGGAAAGATGCTCGAGTGGAACCTGGATCTCCTCGATGGTGATGCCAAGTACATCCCTCGAAGGAGGGATTGTTGGAACCTCTTTGTGGTATGACATGTCTTCGATCAAGCTGGCTGTACGTTTCCGGTTGTTTTTGCCTCGCATGCAGTGGATATGAACTGCTGCTCGAAGCAGGCAGCTTGCTTCCACCCTCCCACGACCCATGTGTCTTCGAGGGCAGTGAGCTCGGAGGAGTGACGTAGGGGTCGACAGCAGAGGAGCTGGCGGAGTTGTCCACATCATGTAATTTAGAGAAGGCAGACACGTCGCTTCCGTCTTCCCACCGCTCGGGTGCTCTCGAGGAAGCCGAGCTTGGAGGAACCACAGAGGGGTTCACAGCAGTGGAGCTAGTAGTACTAGTAGGGTTTCTAGGCACAGTCTGCTCCTTCGCCACAGGGTTCGGCCTCAACGGAGATGCGTGGTTGCTGGCTTGAGGTCGCAAAGCTTCAGGATGCTTCCAGGTTGGGTACTCGGCGGGCTGGTGTCGAGAAGGCGGCGGGGGCTGCAGGGGGTGGGATGGCCGGGGCGAACCTCGAGGAGGCTGTGGGGGGGGAGGGGCCTTTCGTGCAGGTGGCGGCGGTGGCGGTGCTTTTGCAGGCTGACTGGCAGACTTTGCCCAGCTTGGAACTGGGGCCTTTGGTCCATAGCTTGTTGGAGGACCCAGCGGCGACGGCCAGCTTGCTTGAAAAAGCGGAGCATTCTCCGAGGGATCTGGTCTTGCAGCTTCCGAATCTTCCGAAGTGGCTATTTCGGGGCCGAAAAGGCTTTCGCCAGGTGATTGCCGCCGTGCTTCTCTTTGCAAGTCGTCATGCTCTGGCTGTGGCTGCTCTGGGATTGGTCCCACACTTCCCGGTGTAGCCTGCAGGCTGAAACACAGGATGAGTCTGAGACGTTGGCACATGAGAAGGGTTGCTTACATGTCCAGGCTCTCGCCTGGTAGTAGTCCTCCCAACTCGTGCCTGGTGAGGCTGCGCTCTCTTCAACCTCAGTCACGGCTAGATTGCGTCTGTGGCGGCGAAGCTCGGAGGCGCGAGCCTCTGCCTCTGGCAACGTCTGAGCCGCCTCGAAGAAGATTTGCGGGAACCAGCCTGCGCAAGAAACATGGTAGCGGCCCGTGGCGGCGACAGGGCTGAGCCGGGCACTGGATTGCTTTGAGTAGTGGCTTGCCTGCCTTCCTCGCCCACGAGTGTTCTGCCCCAACACCAGCCGTCTTGCCCGTGGCCTAGTCATCGATGGCATGCAAGTTCATGAAACTGGCCACAGCTGCAGCGCTGCTAGTCACTATTTCTGAGACAGGTACCAAGATTAATCACATACTCCCCCTTCTGAAGAGTCAAGTACCTCGCGATGGGTGGCCATCGCAACATGTTTATCTATGCGTACTAAGCACTTTGCCGATCATGATCAATTGATCCAAGAGGACGAGGACAGCACTAGTCAGATGGGAGTCGTCACGCAAACAATGCCAAATAGCAACTCAGGGTTTCTGAAAATCAGGATTCAAAAAGGAACATGAAGGAACTCAGTGTTTTGAGAGCTTTCTGTGCCCTGTCAAGACCCCTGGGGAGTGCATAACTGCATATCATCATTATCAATTCTTAGTATTCTTATGGAAGTCCTATCATTCGCCATAGCAGCAAGGTGGTAGTTCAGAAGACAAAAGGCAGAAAACCTGCACAACAAGAGACATGATAACCAAGCAACAGAGTGCTGTCCCTTGAGAGCACCCGGTAGTAACTTGCGGTTTGACATGCTTGGTATCCTTCCACGCTTGGGTTGCAGAGCGATCTTGCACCCTAAGTACTTGGGTTCTCTCCATCTCCTGGCTTTCCTTCTGCAGGCAGTGCTCAAGAATTCTGTGGGTTTTGAGCTTGACACGTTTCTGTGCCACCAAGCTGCGCAGATTCGTCGCCTGTGTCGTCAGCGAACTCCGCACCTCAAAGGCCAGAGTGCTACAAACATTGTCTAGTCCGGTTGACATCTTGACCAGCGATGGAGCGAACACAGCGACAGCTTCTGCAAATGAGACCGAAACCGCTGAAGTCGCAGGTTGCTCTTCCCACCACATCAGAAGTCATCGCCGGAGGTTGTGCCTTCGCTCTGCGAGGATCTGCGAGGTACGTGCTTTGATGTCATTCGGTGCAGGATCCTCTTCCGCCCTCCAATACCGACTGGCTATGCTGGCTGACATTGGCTGACTAGCTCTGCCGCCACGATGCCACGCTGGAAGCGTCGAGTCTTGCCCTGTCTACTCCAATCTGATCCTCATTCGCAGCCTGAGGCGAATCTTGCCACCATGCGCGAACGGCATCCTTAGGTTCCATGTGTGCTTGTAGCGACTTGAAACTGAGAGCTGTATCGCTGTGTCTAACACTTCAAGTCAAATGCTGCAAAATCTCCAGATCCCGTCTTTGCTGCTCGGCCAGGTTCATGCGGTGCCTTTTTGCCTCGTCCACATCCTGCCAGCAAGCCAGCAGACGTATTGGTGAAAGCAGGGCCACATCGAAGAGCTCAGCAACAAAGAAGAGATCAAGACAAGAACGACAGTAGTTGGGGATTCGGAGAGGCGATTTGTCCTGCCAGGTGATCTCCGCCTGGAGCGATGCTCGAATACCTGCGATGGAGTGCCTCCTCGAAGGACCGTGAGACCACACAGAGACCACACAGCAAACTTCAGGGACTCCTCTTTGAGCGAACCCAATCTTGTTGATCTGGCCCGGTGTGTATTTCGAACCTGCCAGGAGCTCTGCGGCGCCATTTATGTGAGGCATCTGAAACTTGCACTGAAGGGTGGTGCGAATCGGCCTGGGACACCCATCCTTGTGGAAGCTAGTCTCGGCAAGGTCGTAGACATGTCCCGGATGCACCTCGACCAGCGAAACCCTGCGGTAGCAACGACACAAAGCCTGCAGGTCAAGCAAAACAAGTGTCAGACAGCTTTCAACCGCAGAAGCTGCAGATCGAAGATGTCCTGTATGCGTGCGAAACCACCTGGGCAAGTAACAGAATCCATGCGGCGCTCAAGAGTAGGAGGCGGCGCTGTTACCAAATCCACCTCGCGTGAAGTAGAGGCCATCTTGTCGTCCGGTGTGCCGAAGAACTGCACTCAGTGCCTGGGAGTCATGACCCGAGTTCTGACAGAATCTCGACGTTTCTCAGATGACCTAGATGTTGACGATGTGCAAAGTTGAGGGAAACCTTGATGCAAGGATGATGATGGTATCATCACCAAGCTTTGGTGAATCCTGCTCTCACACACACATGGTCTTCTTTGCTTTACATTCTCCTTGTCGTAACAGTCTGTCAGCTTTGGGACGGGCACAGTGCTGCCCTGCCCGGGATGTCTAAGGGAAGCTGCTCCCGAAACCGTGAATCACTGAAAGACTGGTTCGGGAATCACATGTCTTCCTGCACCGTACTCAGCTTCATCCAGAAAACCGTCTTTCCATCTCTGCCGTGCTGCCTTTGACAGCTTGTCGTAATATCGCTCGCTTGCATCTCCCATGGCTTACGGCTACATATTCAAGAAGTCAGCCGTCCACGTTTCGAAAACATGTGGCTGTGCATGCAGGCAGTTGATTGGCTGCTTCAGTTGGACCCAAACTACAGTAGCTGCTGCGAGCCTGAAGGCATACAGTAGCCACGGCTGAGTGCAGCATGTGGACGACCGAACTCCAAGGGCAACCTGGAGGCCCAGCGCGACGCGCCCGGCACGGCCGCCTCCAGGCTTGGCCACGGACCCCGCCTCAGAGCAATACGGCTGCAGCGTGAGCCACAGGAGCACAGGAGGATCCAGTGATACGACCCCGAAACGTGCCGGACGGACGGCTCGACTGGCAAAGGCATGGAACAGCTGCTTCATGGCCTGAGAAAGACAAAAGGAGACGGAAAGGAGAGGGAGAGAGAGAGAGACCTTCCAAAGAAGCTTTGCCTGACCGAGTTCCTCGGTAGTCGCCATGCCAGCCGCTCCGACCGGAGAAGCTGCCTGCAAGCTTCTCTGAGGCTCAAGGCTTCCTCAAAGCAAGGGAAAAAGGGGACCTCCTTCTTGAAATCTGCCGGCATCGAGCCGCGCGCTCGATCTGCTCCTGCGGACTGCCCGGTGTTCGATGAGGCGCTGTTCTCTAATCAAATGCCGGCCTTTCGGGGACGCGGAAGGTCCGCTGGAGTGGCTGCCTGCATGGTATGTCAAGCGGAAACTGAAAAGCGTTGAAGTCTAGACGACTGGGCCTCCCAAAGCGATGCTGGGAGGTGGTGCAGGTGGAGGCGGAGGCCTAGCCGTGCAACATTGAGCACCAGAGTGCTATCTCGTTCTGCTGGGCTGCCCTGGCGGCAACGTACGTATACCCGGGACCCTAGCGCTCGAAGAAGGCCGACGCCAAGTCCCGTGTCAGAAGAGCTGAAGACCTCTGCATTCGGCAGGTCCGGTTCGAGAGCTTGGAATCCTCAGAGCAGGGCGGGGAGCTCTGGCAGCGGATCCGCACCCACGGCAGCCTCGCGAAACGGTGTCAGTCATCTGTCACGGCTCAGCCGGCCTCACCTCTGCAGTGCTTCTTGTGGGAAAACCCCGGTCTGACCTCGGCAGCGAATCTGTAAACAACATCGTCTTGGTTCCACTTTCTTCACCACTTCACTTATGGTTGAAGATGACCGATGCCGAGCACGCTTGCCGAATGCCGGAGCTCCTGGTTTCTTGCTCGAAGACTTGTCGCATGCGTGAGGCTCCGGCGTTCCTGCGCATGGTGCAGGATGCGCCGGTGCTCTGATTCTCCCACGACTCGAATCGTCTCCGAAGACCGGAGGAGGTGCCTAAGAGATGAACCACGCGTACGTTATGGGTTCCGATACTTGTGCTGTAGGGATGTCACAGCATCCAACGGTGGCGGGGCTGGTGGCGGCGCTAGACCAGACAGGAGGCGACCCTGAGCGCATGAAGCAGCCCTCTCGTGCTCTGTAAACGACAGGACAGAAACTACTTTGGGAGAAGCATGCGCAGGTTGTCCTCCAGCATCGGATGTAGCCTCTCCTGCGGGGAAGGCTCGCCCTTCACAGCTCGCGGTGTTCCGCTGGCCGCTGCCTCATGTCTGTACACAGCCATCGAGTGAAAAACCTTCATGTGCATGTTGAAGCATGATATGCGGAAGCAGGAAAAGCGACCTGATCGGCAATGCTTGCGTACAGGGGCCCAGACAAAATGCGGCCGTGCCACGTTGCCGGCCTCCTGCATCGCCGGAGTCGCAACCCTGTTCACCGCCTTTCCACAGCTTTCCCAATGATGATGCAGGCCTCTTCCAGAACTCGGAGTTGACGCCTGCAACACGGCATTCCCAGTGCAAGCTGAACCTCTTCGGAAGCTTGGGGCACCGACTTCTTCTGCTCTATGCCCCGTTGCAGAGAAATCAGCTCCTCCTCTGCACTTGCCTGTGCCAGACGAACTGCCAGACCCATCAATGAATGCACAACGCGAAGCCGCAAGCTTCGAGCAGAAAGACAAAATGGGGCAACCTCATTTTTTCCAATGCCTTTCCGACCCATGGATGGTTGGTGTTTGTGTAGTCAATGTTACAACGATCTGGTTTCCAGACATTTTTGGTATTCAGCATCCTCCACTCGCGCACAAGAGTCCGGAAATCTCCAGAACTTTCCGTGGGATGTCACTCCTGCCAGTGACGCGCAGATCCATCATCCATGTTTGTTCTCGCTATCCGTCCATGTACATCCTTGAGGAATTTGCAACGCGCCAAGCAATGTCAGTTTGCGGCAGGAGCTTGAGGATGTCGTGATTGAACGTAGAATTTCGAATGTCGGTCCAAGTGCAGCCGCGAAGAGCAGGAGCGTCAGGCAGGGTTGGCGGCATAGCACCATAGCGGTTTAATAGGATCAAGTACTGGGACAAGATAGCTAGGACATTGCGAGGAAACAAAGGGTAAAGATCCGGCCGGAGATGCGACACGTGAACCTGGAGAGCCTTTAAACTTTGAGTCTGAGAGGACTCCAACACGCGCCCGGCGGGTGCAGGCTATGCTGCCGCCCTGCAAGCAGTTTCGTACGCTTGGGGCTCTCAGCTGCACAGGAGACGCCGCTGTTGACCCGTGCTTAGCAGCTCCGATGAGCACAGATGAGGCCATGCACCAATGACTGTCCTTAGTAGCTTTGGCAAATCCGGTGCGGGTGCTCAACATGTCGTCGCGCAGCATCCTAATGGATGCCGGGCACCGATGGTTGCTTATCTACCGGTGCCTCGCAAGGAGTCTCCCGGACGGTTGTACTGTGAAGAAGAAGGCGTTCTTGTTGATGTGGGCGATCTTGATAAGGAGTACGAGGCTGATGCCGATGACGATGGCGGCACTCAATCGGGAATCTACGACTTCTCCTTATGAATACGTTTGCTGCAGTAGTCTAGTAAAAGGCCACCTCAATACTCTTCAATATGGATAATTCAGGGTTCACCGGCGAACCTACAGTGCCAGGCTTGGGTCTTGGGCTGCGGGGTTCAAGATTCTGGCTTCAAGGCTTGTGGCTTCAACGGAGAATCATCAAAACTAATATAGATGTCCGGATGATAACCTTCACCTTCTTTCATAATACAACCCTGATTAACTGGAAGGTTAGTCATAAACAAACGTAGTGTAAGTGGACAGGTAAGAATGCAGGGAGAAAAGCCAATACTGAGCCTTAAACCCTAAACTTAAGCAGGAGCATCGCCGTGAGGGTTTGCAAAAAATGGAGAACCCGCTGTCCCGCTGTAAACCAAAAACCTCAAGCCAAACACTACATTCTTAAAAAGGCCTCATAGGGTTTACGGTTTGCGGGGCTTGCGCATAGTTTGGCTACGTGGCGAAGGCATTTGGACGTTACTTTGTTTTTTTGGGGGGGGTTCAGGGGCTACGGTTTGCCAGGGTAAGCGTTGATGCATTTCCTATCGCAGTTTTCTCCTGCAAATACATTCGAACCCCAATTTGATTAAGGCAGGTATCGGGTGAGGGCGGTTCCTTAGTAGCCCCATACTGTACTTCGCCATCCCTTCCCACCTGTGCTCAATCCAAATCAAAGGCGGGTCGGTAGGTGCAACCATTCTGTGCCAGCACAATAGACTTCACTTGAGACCCGGAGGGAGGTGACGAAAGCTCTAGCTGCATGGCATGAGTTCACAGGTTGCATGCTCAGTCGAGGAAAGCACTTTCAAGCCGCGCAACATGTCGCCTTAGCTTCGTGGAAACTTGACCTCATCAATCCCAGGTGGGATTCAACACTTGTCGGGGATTCCGTGGCCGGACCCGAAAGTGTTGAATCTCAGGTGGGATGCAACACTCTCGGGTCTTCCGTCGCTGGGA